GCAGCGGGCCGGACTCCAGAAGCCGACGTTTGTGTCCCCCCGCCCCGCGGCTCTCCCCCGCCGCGGAGCCCCTTCCTTCGGTCGGCCTTTCAGGCCACAGACCGCAAACCGCCCTCCCAGCCGCGGCGGGGGTCCGGTCACGGCGGGCCCGGGTGAGGGAGCGGGGCACCTCCTCCACGGCCCCGCCGGCGAGAGGACAGGCGGCCGCCGCCCCGCGAGAAACCGTCCCTGCGCGCGGCTCCAGCGGCCGGTAAAGTCAGTCACCGACTCTCGGCCGCGGGAGAAGCGGCAGACGGAGGACAAGCTAACGCACCGGGCGGGAGGAGCAGCCCCGGGCCCGGGCCCACACGCCGGCTCGTCCTCTTCGCACCCGCGCCTGAGGGACGGAGCGCCGGGACCGAGGGCGGCGGGCACAGCCGGCCGCTCTTCCGTCCTGCGCCGGCTGACGGCTTTCACCGCGCCCCGTCCGGCCTATCGCTGCGCTTCCATTGGCCCCAAGCCTCCAGCACCGCCCTAGCTTGGCCGCTATTGGCCTACCCCCATCTCCGACCTCGCTGAAGTCATCGCCTTCGCGATGCTCCCTGGGTAATGTGGTTCGCCGAGGGAGACGCGCCGCGCGGACTTGCCGCCCCCGGACTACACCTCCCAACGCGCCGTGGGGCGAGAAGAGGCCTGCGGCGCGGCGCCCGTCCTCACGGCCGCCGGGGGCAGGAGCCGGAGGAGAGGCTGCGGGGTGCGAGCTCGTCTGCCGGGGCGGGAGGAGCGTCCCGGTCGTTACCGGCCGCCGCTGAGGGGATGCGGCCTAGCCCAGTGCGGAGCGCCGAGCTCTAGCGCTGGCAAGGGCCCGTGCGCGGGCGTTGAGGCCGGGGGGCTCGGGCAGCCTGGGAAGACCCGCAGACGTGCGGTGGGCAGGCGAGGAGGCGGGGAAGTTCCCCCAGAAAACAGCCGCCGCGTTAATGTTTTAAAGCGGCGTGTGGTAGACAAGCCATACGCGACGGTCGGTCTGATACCGAGCAAGATACTGTTATAACTGATTCAGCACGTGGCTGGCCAGTAACTGAAACAAATCATCGTCGTCGAGCTGCGTAGTTCCACAGGACCTGATCTTGTCAGGCTGCACTGGCAGGGCCTCTTCAGGATCAAACCACCAGTCTGTTCCATTCAGCTAACATCAGTGAAACGGGACTTAGCACATTTAGAAACAAGCAAGCACTATGCATTTTTCTGCCTAAACGCACGTTGGACAAAGGCAGCAAGGCCACGTTTAAAGGCTGGGGCACTTTCCTGGGAGACAGTGACTGAGGAGAACACAGACAGCTCAGCAAGCACCACCAAGTTCCCCTGGTGCAGCATCCGGCCACCAGTGTGCTGCCTGGATTTACATAAGCAAGCACACAGAACAGAAAAGTTGTATTACCTCAGTAGTTGGCACTGCTACAGTTGTTACTGCATTTATTTCAACACTCACTATTTGAGAACAAAATCAATTAACTGGCAGAAGATCCAGAGAAGAGATTTAACAATTTGAGAACATGGCTTACAAAAAAAAAAAAGAATCGAGGTGTCCAGCATGTGTAGATTAACAGCAAATCCAGAAAGACTTGACTGTATTCTTGAAGTAGCAAGTGCTGGGGAACAGAAATTCAGTAAGAGCTCTTCAGTTTCACAGACACAGCTATGACAAGATCTAACAGCTTTCACACAGTTTGGTGGCTATAAAAATTAAAGTACCCCAGCTGACATTTTCCACATTTGTTCATCTCTGGCCTGCTTCATAGCTCAAAGCCTCATAACAACTTAATTCAAACAAAATCATTTGAATTTTGGGACCACAAAGACTGAAACAACCACGATAGTAAGTAATCAAGAAGCTATTTCAGTGCTGTGCCTCTGCTTCTATTACATTAAATAATTCCATACACTCTTTCGGCAGGCAACATGTTAGTACTCTTTGTTCTGATTCTATGATACTGATTACAGAATTCAGATACAGGTATTTGGTAATATTAGTATACTCCAATCAACATAATCTGGATAATACGTAAATTCTTAGGCACACTGATGGCTTGCATCTTCAAGCAACAGGCTTTGACAGCATGCTTTACTGTCTGGCATAAAGCAGCTGCTCCCCAAATGGATGTTCTAGTAAATACCTCTGTGCCTTTACTTTAGGATCTTCCTTTGCTAAAGGTGATGTGGTGTCTTAGGCCAATTAATGTCTTTGGAAAAAAATACATACTCTAGTCCTTCCACAGCTGTGGTGGTGTTGCTGTCTTATCTCAGTTCCTCAGCCCATTCACCTCCCACAGAGGGCAGCCTTCGAACAATCTGTTCCAGTTTTGAATGATGCTGAAGCTACATAGATAGTGGTACAACAGCAGAAACAATGGCAGTAAGCCCTCTTGCTCTCCTTTTCTGACTCACTCACTGTTCCTGAGTACAAACCTGAGAGCATGCTCTGTTTTGTTTGACTGCATGTCAGGAAAGGTGTTGACAACAAGAAAATACTTCACACACTCTTTCTGATAGCAGCAGCATGTCTGATAGGAGATTTGGCCATTCTCAGAATCTACAAGCATGTTGTTGAACTTATGTATTTAGTATTTCTAAAGTGATAATGAGAACAGCATAACTTACTGTTTGTTCTTTCTATCTCTTTGCATTTCTTGTTTCTTCTGTTTTAGCACTGTAATAAACAAATAGCTACAGATCATCCAATGTACTTGACAAGAAACAGGACAGTCCCAATGCCAATAAAACTAGTCCCATTTAACACTTTCACTTTGTTACCTAGAATTGCTACTTCTGCATTTTATAAGCACCTCAGTGAAAAAGGATTTAACTTCAGAATTTATTGAACATTCATTTTGGTTGGTGTAAAATATAAGAGATTAGGTTTATAGCACAGTTTTTACATTATGGGACAATTCCTCCATATGGTTTTTACTTTGAGACCTGTACACTCTATCCCACCCCCAAAAAGAAGAAAGCATAAGTAGCAATAGGTTCTTCAGTTAAAGCCACAGAAAAACTGTAGGAGTTAGTTCCATGCTTCATGTATTAACTCTATAATTGTCTGAAACTTTATTTTTAGAGAACTTCGGGGGTTTTCCTTGCAAACACTCCCCCCCCCCTTTTAATTTGTTCGCATGGCCTTGGTGTCAGCCTGATTTTAATAACTTAAGTTGGTGAAAGTTGTTAGCTGAGGGAGGCATAACAGAAGTTCACTGCAGAATAACATATACTAGATTATAGCAAGAGAACAAGCCAGTTTTTATGTGTATTTCAAGACAGCATAATAAAAAATGTTTGCTATTTTTCCTTTTTTACAGACTTCAATAATTACTTTACTGAGTGATTAAGTAACTTGTACCATATGCTCCATAAATAACAACTGAAACATTATGAAGAGAGTGACAATAATCTACTGTGATCAAGAAAAGATGCAACTACTTACAGACAGCATATAATTCATATACTGACAGAGTAGAGAGTATTTTCATGGATTGTTTTGGAGTTCAAAAGCAGAAAATTAACTATGATTTCCCTTTACATCAGAGTTAGTCTTCCACAAAAATTCATGTCAGGTTTTGCAGTGCTCTCCCTGGAAGCATTGTGTTAGGCTTTCTTTGGGTATCTCCCATGGTTCTCTATGCTGTAGTAAACAAAGATGCTCAGTAAATGTCTTTTCAATGAGTTAAGTGAGAACTTATTTGTTCATAGGGCACACAGGTGAGGGAGCGCTATCAGGATTCATGTGGTTTATCCTGCATCCCATACTATAAATTTCACAGATAATATGCTTGAATGAAAGTGAATTAATGAATCATGGATTACTCCTAGCCACACCTCACAAAGGTGCCTTTAATTAAAAAATGCTGCAGAAAAAGGTGAACACTGGTGCTCAGCTATGATAAAAGTTATTCAGGAAGGATGTTACTATGAGTTAACAATCAAGTCAAGGAGGCAGGTAGCAGGTTATGTTTCCCTGGCTTCAAGAATAGAAAAATTGTTAAAGAAAAATATAGTAATGAAACAATGTACTCTGTTTTACCTGTACCTTTAATCAAAAGGTTAAGATGATATATGCAAATTACTTATATAACTATCAGAATAAATAATTTTTAACTTCAATATCTCTTACATTCAATTTGGAAAGCAAGAAAGGGAAGCTCAGAAAAACTAACCACGCTCTATAGCCTTTCCTAATGAAGTAAAAAAGATCCTGTAAAATGAGGTGAAATTACATGAGGCAGCCACAGGAGCCTAAAACAGGTTTTCTTATTCTCTCAAATCCTTTCCCTGGCTCTGCTCTAGCCTCTGTCCACCTGCCAGCTCTGACATTCATCAGGCTCTTGCTGAGTGGGATAATTTGTTAACCCAGACAAAAATTAACTCCCCAGGGCTAGTGAGTTGTTTCACAGAAAGGCCTAATAAGCATTACCACCAAAGCGAAATGGGTGCTGAAAGCAAACAGGTAGCAGAAGGAAAGGAGCTCAAGCTATATAGGACAAAAATAATTTATAACAATATATGTTACAGGCTTTAGCTTCTTGGAAAAAACATTTCTGGCATTTCAGGAGTGCAGAAAATCTTGGATTACTTTTGTGAAGGCAAACGACGAGCCAAGATATACCATTTCAAAAGCGGACCCAGACTATTTTGTTTGTCCAGGATCAAAAATCAGTTTGATAGTATTGTGTGTGCTACGAACACAAATATAGCTGAGAAAAGAATTACAATGAAAGTACTGAGCAAATAATACAAAGAACATAGTAAATATCAAACCTGAAATGTAAAATGATAAGATTAAGACAGAACAAAGAGCAGTGGAAGCCTATATAGCTCTTGCACATGCCTGGCCCAGTTCAGTGGTAAAAGACATATTAGAGTTCAAACCAGTTTTAAGAAGATGCACAAAAAATGCCCCCAAACCAACAAAAAACCCCAAACAAACCACAACCCCCTCCCCAACCCACCAAAACCCACAAATCCCATGTTTTCATACCATGTTAGCATTTTAACAATACCTGGGGAAAGAAGCCATAAATATAGGAAATTTCCATAGTACATGGAGTCATTTAGATATTTAATAATTAGCAAAATCAACCATAAAGTTGAAAGCATGAAGTATCAACAGGTACTTTCCCACTGCCATTAACATTTTTAGGCTGTTTGTATCAACAATTGGCCAATACATACAAAGTTGCTCTTATTAGGTACCTGAACAGCCTGAGCTCAAAGGGAGAGGTGGGAGACAAGCTGTCTCCTCAAGAAGGTCCTGAAATGATGCAATTTTCACTATAGCTGATAGGGTAACATCAGCCTTTGAAGAAGCAGAGACAGATGCCTCATCCAATGGCTGGCCACTCAGAGACAGGTGACAGCATTCATCTACATCCAGTGTTCACTTACATCCAAGCAAGCGCACAAATCAGAAAACAGACTGAGGTAGAGAGAAATGCTGGAGACTGCCAAGTATTTGCATTTCTCTTTAGATGCACTGGTAACCTGATCAAAGTAGAACTTGTTGGCAATGGTAGGAAGATAATAAAGGGAACAATTCTGGCTCAAATGGACTGACATTGAAACCAGCATACCCTTTGTTTCCCCATGGGCATTTCCACTTGCAACTCAGATTTGCATTCCACAGCAATGCATCTCTTGTGAAGATCAGGAAAAAACCCTACTCCCTGTGTTGTGGGAGGCATAGCAAGAGAGAGCAGCACTTGCACAACTAAGCTAATTCTGCAGCCACAAGACTCTCATGCTGCTTTAAGGAAGTTATTTTCCTAACATGTCTTAACACCAGGAGCTTGTACCAGAGCAAATATTGGAGAATATTGATGAGGATGCACAGTCTCATCTTATGGCACCAAATATAAAGTCTACCTTGACTACAGAGCATCATCACTGCTGATGCTTAATACTTAAAGATGCTCTACCTGCTTAACAGATGAAGGGGAAAGATCCCAGCCTCTTCCAGCTCCTGAATACATCAAGAAAAACCCTCAGAGGCCTCAGTTCATCCTAACCAAAGTGAAGAGCAATGATACCCTGCTTCTGGGCCTTTTAAGATATACTTTCAGGTTATGCTTTGAATATTGGTATCAAAAGCCTTGAAGGCAGAAGATTAAGAGCTGTATGGTTTCTTGCTGGTCCAGCTTTTTTCCCTTCTTACCCATTTGTGGTTTAAAAGACCTGCAGCTGGAAAACTTCCAAGGTACTTACTCCTAAGTTAATGCAGGCACATTCTACAAAATATGGTATTAGAAAAAGTACTGGGGTGAGTTGCCAGAATGAGCCAAAGAAGTGATGACATAGCAGAAGACTCCGATGTTAGAAAAGTTTTACGCAAAAATAAGAAAAGCTACCTCATTAGGGAAAGTTTGATTATACAACACTGTTTACATCCAGCAACTGAGCAGACAAGAAATGGTGCTAAGTACACTTTGCATTGTATATGTCAGTTACTATATCCTAATAGGCACAAGGATATCTTTTACAGTAAGACTAGGAGATTCTCCTGATAATAGTTTTTCCAGTGCTCTCCCCCATTCAACATCAGCTGCAACAGTGCTTTGAAACTCCCAAGACACAGCACAAAATAAATGTTGTACTTTGCTGCTGATAGTATTTTCTCATAAACCATTACAGATTTACACGCTTACTACTAAGCACCACAAGTTATGAAAAAGGAATTAACAATTCACTGTCATTAACATTAAAAGACACCTTTCACCATCTTTAAGCTATTCAGTCCCAGCAACCAGGTCCATTCAGTGAAAAAGCTATTATTCTGTGCCTAATCACAGAGCAGACAAAGATTGCTCCTCAGCATGCAGATAAAAGGGATGGGCTATCATCTATAACTACATAATGTCTCTGACTGAAAGCAGTCATCCTGAGTTTTTTCATGCTTGATCACTTTCAGAAGAATCTTAACTGCCCAGGGAAGACCCTAGAGCAGCCTTCTTCAGTTAGTGTTTGTCTGCACTGGGTTGAGACCATGACTCTCCCTGCTTTCCAGGTACAGTAAATGAACACCTGCATAAAACTATCCTTTATCTGTCAGAAGCCAAGTATCTCTGGCCATTTCTTTTAAGACTATGCTTGAGCTAACACCACTGCTAATAGCACCAGTCCTACCTTTGATCCAAACCATTAGCTCCCCACACTAAAGCAAAGCTTTAAGTGGCTCTGAAGACTAAGGGAACTGAACCTAATAGCCATCCCAGCCAAGAATAAAAACATCTCTGCTTATGTTTTGTTCACCTTTATATATATATTTCTATATAGATGAGCAGAGGGTTTTGTCACTTATCAGCCCTCCCTCAATCTCACTCTCAGTTCCAGTTCTATTTCAGTATGTGTACATAATTTTAAAGCACTCTTTAAGCAATTAACAAAACTGAAGTGGTATTATAGCTTGTAGAACAAGATGCTGTACTTTGTTTTAGCAAAAAATGACAGAACTTGTCTTTTTGGAGAGACCTATAACATGCATCCAGATAGCAAGTCAGAACAGGAAGGCAGTACAAATTATGAATCAACTCCTGGAGAAGTCCCTCTCAATTATAAGCAGAGATTAAAGAGACCTGCACCAATTATGGTATCCTGAAGTTACCTGGTGTGGATCCCATTCCATTTCTAGTAGCAGCTTACTATGTTGCTATTTACAGACACATGTATGAGCTCTAATGCATAGATTTTAGGTCCCTGGCTACAAAATATTTGACAGTTGAAAAATCTAACACCAGGCAGTCAAAATTATTCACTGCAGAGCTGGAATCAGCAGCCAATTTACGCTTTGCTGATGTGATGGAATCTTTTCTCCAAGGTACTCGGAAATCTTTATAAAGCTACAATTCAGACTAAACATTAGTCTTATTTGCATATAAAATACTATCTTTCATGATTTGCATTCCCCTGAAAATATCCCCAGCAGCTGGATAGGATATTCACTTTAGAACTTAGGAAGCTGATCCATCTGATCTTCACAAGTCTAACTTAGAAATATCACACAACAGTTTTACGTGCAAGCATCTTTTGTTATTTAACATTGTACATTTTGGTTTACTAGAGCATTGTCTGAAAATGCACAATACACTCAGGTCAATCTGATTTCATTTGACACAGAATTTCAGCCAGAAACCTACAGTAGCCTGGTTAAAGATATGAGAGTTTTAGGCCTGAAATAATGCTGATGATTTTGTAAAGATGATCACATTTAGATTCCATGCTTGTTTTGGTTCTGGTACATCTGCTTCAACAAAGACATCTATCTGTAAGCAGTTACAGTTAAGACTGTATAGATAATAGGGCATATATTTCAATACTCAGTGACAAATTGTTTTTAACAGTGATTTCTGTAACATGGCTACAAGAAAAAGTTTTAAGCAAGACTGATTATCATACCTCTCATAGTCTGGTTATTTTCCTATTTTAAAAGGGTTTTTTTTAATCCACACCCAGGAGTTAATTTTTTAATTTTCAGGTTCTTTGAACATTTTGCTCAGCTGTTCAACTAGTGCTACAAGTTCAGGGTTTCCCCCAAGTGATTCAATTTGTTTATAGGCTTCAGATTCAAGCTCTTTCAATGTATTCCGAGTGTACTCAAAGGAACCCACATTTTCAAGGTAATGTACACAGTATTTTTTTATATCTATGTTCTCTGTCCTTTGACGTAAAATGTTTTGCACCTGAGTACTTTCAGGTCTTGACCAAATCGCATGAATGGTTGGGAATGAGAACTTGCCCTCAGTTAAGTCTTCACAAAAACTCTTGTTTTCACTATATTCTTTGGAGTGCAAGTTGGCATAGTCATCTCTTATTTGGAAGAAGAGGCCAAGTGTGTTAAGAAGTGGCTTTAAGTCTTTTTTATAATTTGAGAACAGCTGCATGAGGCCTACAGCTAATCCAAAGAGACCACCTGTCTTTTGCAGTACCATAGCTTTATATTCAGCTTCTGTAGGACAGGTGTAAGTATCCCTCCAGTAAATATCCAAGCCTTGACCTTTATGGAGTTCCAGAAGTTGACGGGTAAAAACTTTAACAGCATCTGGATGATCAAGGGTTAAAACCTTCTCTAAGCCAAGGAAATACACATAATTAGCACAGTTGATTACAGATGGAATTCCATAGATACTGTGTGCCACTGGAAAGCCTCGTCGTAGCTTTGAGTTATCTTCAATATCATCCACAAGTAGGCTTGCATTGTGCAACATCTCTGTCACTTCAATGATAACCTATTACAAGAAGAAAAAAATTATTAACTCTCCCACTGTAATTTAACCTCCAGTTTTGCAAGACCTTATTTAAAATGGATAAGGCTTTAAAGAATTGTATTCTCTATCACTGAGGTTCCCCTTTAGACCACTTGCTTTTACCATTAATACAGATTTATGATTCTCTTAATCACCCAGCTTGCTCTAAGGCCTGGATCATGCGGTCTGCCTTGTGTGTACTGTTTTCAGATTCAAAGTGGACTTACTCCCTGAAGTGCTTCTACTTGCATGCTCCTCTTAATTGTTGCTACAGTTCTAAAATATGCCATTGTCTAGGAGTCATGCAGTAACTGTTATTAGAAACATGAATAGAGGAAAAAGTCACAACATTGTGTTGTTTTTCAAGTTCACATTCACTAACCTGAGGTCTCCCAAAGTCAGTTCTTAAGAGCGTCAGGTATTTAATACATTACACACATTTGTCATTAATGAGTTGTCATACCCAAACCCATTTGTCTTGTGGACCTTGTTTTGATAAGTGGAGAGAGTTCATCTTTCTTTCCCCACACTTTGTATAGTTATAAGAACATACTATTCTCTCTGAAAGATCATTTGGAAAATTCCTGGCAGAAAGGCAACAGCTACAACTTCTTTTGGGAAGCTTCCTGCACACTTGTTACTACTAGGTAGACCAATATCATACACCATCTGAAGTACACAAACTGTTCAGAACATCAAGCTTGTAGCTGACTACATTTGACTAAAACTGAACCTTAACAATTCCAAAGCAGGACAATTCCACAAGAATTAAAGAGTTTTAACACTATATACTGTTTTTATTGCACAGCTGTTATGCAAGGAACAGGTATATTCAGCACCTGCTTAAATGGAAATAAATTTATACAGTATGCAATTTTACATGCTTAAACTCACTGCAAAACACATCTGATTAAGATATGATTTTAAAGCTAATGAACCAATTACACTTGCTAGCTACAAACACTGCACTCAGTCAACGTTCATGAAAACAACTGCTTCTAAAAAAAATACTAAATTAAATAGTGGCAAGTACCTAGTATGGTCCTATTTGGTAGGTGCTGTAGGAAACAGTAAGAGGGACTTTGCTGCAAGCATTTTCTTGAGCAGCAAGCCACCTAGTGTTCAGTGACCACTGTCCCAAAGATTAAAATCCAAACCCCAGCTTTGTCCAAGATATGACTGCAAGAACGACTTAAGAAGAACTAATGACTCCTCTACCAGATAGAAGTGAGCCCTACTTTGACCTGTAAGGATATATTGTTGCCCGTTGACTTAAATCAGAAGATGGAGTACTTACTGAAAGCAACTTTGCATACCTATTTGTCTGAATATTCTCTTAGTCTCATTCTCAGTACTAACAGGAAAGTTCCCCTGTATTTTGTGAATTCCTTGGATAAGCCTAGCATTTCTCTTGCTAACCTATTTCATATCACTTTCAGTTTCATGAACTTATGCAGCTTCTAGACATTTAAGGTTTAATTGAAACAGTGCTTCATGACTCTGTGTGCTTGAATTAAGTTTTCTTGTGAACTTAAGGAAAGGCAGTGTCAAAAATGCTTCAAAGTTGAAAGTACAGAGCAAAAAAGTTCAGACAGCAGAAAAAGCTTATTTTAGAAGACATCAGGAAGTAGGTGAGGAAATGAAAAGGCTGCTCTTCATAATGAAAGCTGAAGAACCAGTACAGAGTGTTATACTTTCTTAGAACCCAAGCCTATCTAATCAGTAGCTGCTGCACTATCATTCCAACACATACATTTCTACCTCCTTACCTGCAATAGCTTTAAAATTTGCTTGGCCCTGTACTAGGCCATTTCAGTGCCTTGTGAGAAGAAAGTTCATCTGACAAACCCAGCGTTCTCTAATTCAACAAGCTGAAGTGTCTCAGTGCAGTGTCAGATGGGTACTAGAGATACAATAAGTGGGAAAAAAAAAAGAGACCACTTGGCTGGGAAAAAAGTGAAATGGTGGCAGCCAATAGCAAAATCAACTACCAAGGAAGAGTAGCCTCAGCTGTATCACCTAAATGAACTACATGTAGACAAATTATCTACAGTAGAAAAATGTCCTGTAATGAGTGCCAGAATTTAGATTTTTAATAGAAGAAATACAAATAGCTGGAGGGAATCAGGCTGCTAGACACCTGGGACATCTTAAGAAGATTATGAGATGTCAAAAAGATGACTAGAGGTGGTCCTCCAGACTTCAACAACCTTAAGTTATTAAAATTAGTACAAGTATGCACAAAAGCAGTAACAATTGTGTCAGGATGCAAATTAAAAGACAACAGGGTCTTGGGTTTGTATTCAAATGACCCAAAGAATAAAAATATTAAGTTCCATCACAAACAGCTTAAGTGGTAAAGGAAACATTAAAGCATCCATTTTCTTCATAAAGATAACCAAAACAAGCAGTCTAAGTTTTCCATAATGGTTACATGATTAGCAGTTTAAAAGTGACATGTAGAACTAGTAACTTCTGTTCAGAAGCACTGCAGCTTTAGTTTACCATAGAACATGAGAGAAGATGGACCTGTACTGTCACAGGTGCTCAGCAAAAGGGCAACAGCATAAGAAATCCCAGTTGGACAGAATGGAAGATTTTGTTATTACGGCAGGGGTTCAGCACAGGAAGACAGGCCCTGAGAGGCTGCAGAATCTACATCCTCAGACCTTCAAAACTCAGCAAGACCACCAGAAGCCTAAAGTAGCTATAGAGCAAGCCCTGCTTTAAGCAGGGGGCTATCCTAGATAACTTCCAGAGGCTTCTTCCACTTTGAATTCTGATCTATGATATTGGACTAAACCCATGCATACAAAATGTATTATATAGCAACCTGTATATCATTTGGATATGTAGCTGAGCTCAAAGGGTAAGATGTGTCTAGCTGGAAGCCAGAATAAGTCTGGCTAAAAAGTTACATAGACAGGTTGGAAAATAGAAAAGAAGAGTTACTAGATGATGAATGCAGCCTCTTCCTTCATTAAATTACTTAAAACCATTTTGCTCCTTGACAGCTATGAAGTGTCACTCTTAAGCCACCCTAAAGAAGACTCCTTCACGAACTCTAACAGGTACTTCTGCCAACAATTAATGAAATTAACTAGCTGGGTAAGTGTCAAAAACCATAATTAGTTATTTTAATTCCTTACATTGTCTTGGACACAGAGAATCTTTTGCACTCTCTATATGCAGTTTAGCAAAACTGTAGTCTAACCAAGAGGGTAATTTTTCATTTGACAATCCAGTGTTTAAATACACAGCCACACATCTTGCACAGATTCATCCAACAGAAAAGCAAAAGGGAAGGAGAATTCCTAACTTAATGCTTCTCATTAAACTCCCTAGAGTAGGGACTCTAGAGTGTATGATAAGCAGCCCACAGTTTTAGGCCCAGAACAATAAGTGGTTTATAAAATTGATTTAATTGCTGTCTTTGATATTCTTGTATCAAAATCAGAAGATTTTATTTTCAACCCCTATATCTGTGTAGTTAACAAAGTAACTGTCTAGCTTCTTTCATAAGTCATTGAAAACTCAGTGTTAATAACTGAGTTAAGTAGCTGCTTATCTACTTAAAAGGTTGAGCACACTTGGAAAGAAGTAACTTTTCTACATAAGTCATGGAAGTAATTTCTTCAGTGTTACATCACAGTCAAAGCTTTGCACTAAAGTTGTTTTCCTAAAAGTTTACTTTAATATATTCAGAAATTAGTGCATTAAAGATTTCTGATCATTTATGCTACCCAAGAGAAGCATCTGTTACTGGTAGTCTTGGAAGAAAGATAACAGCCCTTTAAAAATAATTAGCCAGTACCTGTATTTTATCTTCTGGAACATTCAGCCAGTGATTAAAGGCCTGTGACAGTTTGGTTCTCACTTGCTTACCTACAATAAAAATATTACAGGCATTTATAAAAATCACATAAGGTTCATTATTAGCAACAACAGTTTGTCTTAACTATAGCTGATTTGAGACCAGTAAACTGATCAGTGTGATCACCAGAAAGTGGAAAATATATCACAGTGTGTAGCTTGTTTCCTCATTGTATAAACATCAATTATCAGCAGCTTCAGTTTTAAACATTTAACAGTAATATGCAAAGCACACATTTACAGATTACTGTATTTAGTTTTGGCAGTTTAATTAGTAAGTGGTCCTGAGTATGTTGGTAACCTGTACAGATCAGCTTACTACTTCTGAAAGTAAGCCCTAGTTTGCCAGGTGTGTAGATTTTGTGTATGTAACAGATTAAGAAGTTTCAATTATGATTCATTATTAGTTCAAGATACAGATATTTGTTGAATATTTACTTCTCTCCATTTTTAGGTCTCTCTTCTGTAGTACTGTTCACTTGCTACTGACAATTTGTAAAACAGGAAAGTGACATTTGATATACTTACTAAATAACTCTAAAAAATCTGAACAGAACATTCTGAACAGGATAGAACTTTCCAAGAATTCAGACATTTATCTTATACCCAAGAAGTCTACCTACAAATAATAGGATTTGTTCTGCTTTGGCTAAATCTAGTTTGGTGGAGCCAAGCAGTCACCGTTTCACAGAAAGGAAAGACAAGATCGAAAGTTCAAGTTTAGTGTTAAAACAAGCATTACTATTCAATCCAGACACACTTTACATGACAGAGTTAATTTTAATAGAAGTTAACCTATGTGCCTATAAATTATTGATGCCAGCTTTCTTTAATAAATTGCTAGGAGTCATGTACAAATATTTATTCAAGTGTCTACTGATGATCAATATGACATAAAGTCACCCCATACCCACACTGAGACAATGCTGCTCTGAACTTTGAGAAGCTCAGCTATGCATAAGATCTTTGAATTACTGCAAGATGGGTTTAGACAAACAGCTCTGCATATGTAGCTCACATCAACAAGGCCTTTGGAAAGAGTTTTAAATAAACTTCAAAGCAGTGCAACTTAGACAGTGGGTACCATATTACTCATCTCAAGATCTACCGAGACATAACTTAATGATTCTGCAATATTAGTCCTCATATTGATAACACCATCTTGCCCATAGCACTGAAGAAATTTCAACATTTGAATCTCTCCCTAAGGCTTCTCTATTGCTGTGTGACCAGCACATACAGAACAGAATAATAAAAATGGGTAGGTTCACTTGCAGTGATATACCCTGGAGAAACTGGACTGAGGATTTTTCCTTCTCTAAGTCACCAACAGGTAAGCAATAGCTTTGTGATTTGGGCTCTGTGGGAACGGTGATAACCTTCCTCCCTGGCTCAGAAGGCTTCAATTTTCGTCTCAGTTCTCAAAGATTTCCACTGCTTCCCATCACCACCATCTTTTGGTTTTCATTAGAAAAGACTAATGAAAAGATGCTCCCCCCCCCCCCCCCACCCTTTTTCCTTTGGCTCTGTCCTGTGATACAGGCACTGTTACCTGGACATACACTATCATTGGCTTGTGTTCTCCATTTTTGTTTTCTATGGTCAGTTTTAAACACTAACACCTTTCTGCAGGAGGGAGAGATTATTTTGTCTCTCAAACAGCAGAGCAGATATTTTAAGCTCCCCATATCAGGTTTGCTCCCTTTCAGGAAAGTACATAGCTGGTTCTAAATTTTTTTTTTTTTTAAATCTGTTTATTTAAATCAGTAATTCACTGACTTAGAAGTTCACTATTTTAACACAGGTAGCCAGAGCTCAAATTTAAATATAAAGTTAGAGTAGTGCCCAAGAGTTTAAAAGCCTCTTACATTAACTAAGCACCACCACTAATTCAAGTTAGACCTGCTTCTGACAACATCTCCTGCAGTTACTAAGGATGTGAAACACTTCAAACACTCAGCCTTCCCCCCCCTTCTTCCCCATATAGTTAGATCAGATTTTGGCCAGATTGGTTCCCTGATTCGACTCACTACACACTTGTAACCACCAGTCAAAATGCCCTGCATCAGAGGTTCAATATTTTACTTTAAAATAATTGCATGAGTTAACTGAAGAGAAAAGATTGCTCAAAAATATTGAGAATTACTGTTAAAAACATCTGCCAAACTGTATGGCTTGCCAGTTAAGTATTAACAAATATTTCAGTAACTCCATAAAGAAAACTACTCAGAGATAAATATCACATTAAGTAAGTGTACCTTATCTACAGCTGTTTCTTCACTTCTAAATTACATTCATATAGACAACACCTACTTTTTCACATTAGGCAGCTAATTCTGTTTTTCTGAATGTGTTTCCTAGAAAACATGCTTATGGAATGCTGAATGTTCAGCAACAAGTGTTATTTTATCACGAGGAACGTAACTACTAGCACACACTCTAAATGAATTATTAACATGCACAGCGGATTTAGGCACTTCAGTTCCTTAGTACAGACTGCATTTGAATTGTTAGACTTGTCTACCTTGACTAGCAGGGCTGTCTAGACATTGACTATTCAACAAAAAACTACTATCTGTACAGTGAAGCATTCATCTTTCCTTTTATAGGTGCAGATTTGCTTGTGTGAGCCCCTTTAAAGGAACATTATTGCTATATAAATGCTGTTTTATCTTGTTCTGAAGTCAATCATACCCAGTCTATGTGATATTACAGCAATTTTCTGTATGCGTGTTTTATGCCTACAGCCATGCTATGATGGCAAAAGACCAAAGCTCTCTAATACTGGTCTCAAAAGCCTATATGCAGAAGCCTCTATTCCTTGCCACAGCTCTCCTCTCCCCAAACTAGACAAGACAACAATCCGGGGACACTAGGACAAAATTAAAAGGAGTAGAACTTAAGACTGGCAGAATTATTCAGTGTCTTCACTGTCACATGTCACTGCTCTGTTAATTATTCTAAGCAGGTTATTGTAAAACTGAAGAATACAGAAGTCTAACTTCCAAAATTAGAAGCTCTACCTACTGTATAGAGCTATAAACATTGCTGCACCAAGGTTTTATCAAAGTTATGCTAAATGCTTTTGGTTTAATCTGCTTAAAACCCCAATATTAGTCAAATCAAAGAGCAACTATGGAAAGCTTTTCTCCTTAGTAATGTTGGGTGGAAAAGGTGAGAAAATATTCAAAACATAACAGATTCACTCTGATGAAATTCCTTCTACAGATAAGAATGTAACTCCCTTATCCTTGAAACAAAGATCGTTACATTAAAGATGTTGTACTGAGGACAATCCCTCCCACCTCTTCAGACAGATGAGATACTTCACTAAAAAAAAAAGAAAAAAAAACCTGAGCCTGACTTCCTCTCTCTATACACAATTGTCTTGTGACAGGGTACAGACCCCAAACCCACAGACCTCCAGCTCCGGACAGGTTCCTGATCAGTATTTCTTCACTCTTGCTGCATTAAAGTGACAACAAATTATGCCCTTAGGGCAGCACCCCACTTACAGTGAGGGTACATAGAAGGGCAAGAACAGCATGGGAAAGAGCAAAGGGACTATTAACCTAGCCCTCATTAGAGCCTCACTAAGCTAATTCAACTCATTACCCCAGCAGAAAACTGTCTGCTTTTTGCTAGGTTAGCTTTCTGCCAGCTTTATGTACTGAGTCAGCTTATGAAATGGATCTGCCAGAGTTAGTACAGGGTAAGCAGCAGATGCTGAGAGCCAGAGGAAGGGGGCATTGTCCTTCTGGAGGAAGCAAGCTACTATACTACCTCAGCTATATTGTATACTTTCATGTTTAGCTCTGTCCTCTGATGGATTAGGGCTAAATGGATAAATTCCCCAAGCAGACCTCCCCACACAGCTATAAGAAACACTACAGCCAGCAAAAGTGAACTGCAGGAAGACAAGCAAAGAGAGCAGGCATATACACTTTTAAACCTGGGTAGCCGCTCACGATGGATTAATGTCACTGTAGAATTGGCTGGCTTAAGTCCCCTGTTCCAAATTGGGTTAACTAGTCCAAGGTTGTGATCCTGATTTTTGCCTTGTTCCTTCTTCTCAGGATCCTGAATGCCACCATCCATGTCACTACAGCCAAGGTTGCCCCCAGTCTTCATGCCCTAACCAATTCTTCCTTGTTTCTAAGTGTGAAGTCCAGCATAATGCCTTCTTTCATCAGCTCCTTGATCACCTATGTTAGCAAGTGGTCACCAATGCATTCCAGAAACCTCCCAGATTGCCTCTGCCCTGCTGTGTTGCTTCTTCTACCAGATACTGAGGTAGCTGAAGTCTCATGAGTACCAGGGCCTGTAAATATGAGGCAGCTTCCAGTTGTCTGAAGGCCTCATCTACTTCTTCCTGCTCAGGTTGTCTGTAGCAAAGACCCACTATAGTGTCACCCCTATTGATCTGCCCTCTAATCTTAACCCATAAACTCTCAACAGGCTTATCTGACTGAAGGCAGAGCTCCATGCAGTTCAGCTGCTCTTTCACATAAAAGGCAACTCCCACTCCTTGCTATCCCAGACTGCCTTATCCCAGGCAGTCCACATGCACCCATGGCAGCACTCCAGCTGTGCAAGCTATCCCACATCAGATACCCCAATAAAACTGCAGCCCTGCAACTGCATGCAGACCTCAAACTCCTCCCATTTGTGCCCCACATTGTATGCATTTGTGCAGGGGCACTTCAGAGAGGCACCCAATCCTGCAGATTTCCCAGAAAAAGTGAGAGCTTCCCCCATCATGTTGTCCTGTTCATAATTCCTTGTTTGAGTGCATACACCTGGGATGGGCTGCCTTCAGCTCTGCTCTGTTGATTACAAGGTGTCTCTTGTCCTTTGTTTGCAAGTTTACCATCTCCTTACCTTCCTGTGTATAGGCATTCCCCTCTACTGTAATTTCTAGTTTAAGTCCTTTCTCACCAGGTTGCTCAGCCTGTTGGCAGAGACACTTTTGCCCTGACTTGGGTAGGAGGATGCTATCTCCTGGTAGTCCTTGATCTACAAAGGGAATGCCATGGTCATAAAACCCAAATCTCTATCAGTATCAGCTGTACAACTAACTAGTTGTTGACAGACAGGATCTCTCTGTTCCTCTTGATGGTAAGGGGAAGGGGGTTGAGCTTCATCAAGAAAAGCCACCTGGCTTCCTGTGCCCTTGGCCCTCATTCCAAAAGTCACAGTCATGCTTAATTAGCTCCAGGCATCCCTTTACTATAACCATTAGTGCTCAAGTGGAAGAGCTGCAGGGTTAAGTAGTCTGAGGGTGAAACACACCTTGGCAGTCCTTCCATAACATCCCTGATCAGAGCTACCCAGAAGCAGCAAAGCTCCCCAAAACAGAAGCTCAGATGGAGGCCTCTATCCCCTGCAGGAGTCAGTGTCCCCACTACTATCACTTACTGCCACCAGGTGCTGGTCTGATGCTTGGCTGTAGACAGAGCTTCCAGCCATGTCTTCTTTCAGTGCACTGAATCTATTTGGCAATTGCATATCTGCCTGAGGAACAGGAATCTTTCTCCTGGTGCCAGAAGCCATCAGCTCCCAGCCTTCACCACTGTGAGCATATCCATTTCCCAACTTGATATGCACAGACTGTTCCTGCCCCTCCTTCAATATACCTGGAGGTTTCAAGCTCTTCAACCTGCAGGGTCTTGCTCTTTTTGTTATTTCTGATGCTGTGCAGCCTGCTGACCCCCTTCCATGGCTCCTTTGCTTGGTGACACACATTTTCCACCACTCCACACCTTTTAGGGGCAGGGACATCACTTTCTTCTGGCCCAGTGGGTGCCCCCAGGCAGCCCTGCAGCTCAGAACCTGGAAAGCTGCAGCCTCCCTCAGGAACTTGGCTTAAGTTGAGGCCTCTGATGTGCCAAGTGTAGTTGTGCTCGTGGTAAGGTTCATGCCCTGTGGTGCTTAACTCCACCAAGCTGGTCAAGTTCAACAACCCAGCAGACAAAGCTGAAAAACAAAAGCCAGTCTTGATTGTTTAGCTTGCTGAACAAGCCCAGGAAAGACTGCAGCCAAGACCAGAGGGAAGTGAAAGGGAAGATGCACAGTCATGAATGGGATCAGAATCTGCCCCTTTCAATAGCAAGCTGTTGACCATACCAGTTTTACTGCAACTGAAACTCCATATACTCCTCAGTGCTGCAAAAACAGCTACTGCTGTTAACTCAGCCACTCAGAGATAAAAGATTCATCATATGTGTGAATCAGGCCATTTTTGAGACAAACCACATTGGAATTTGTAAAAGTTAATCCTGTTTATTGCACCGTGTTTATGAGACTAAAGGACAGAATACTAGACTCAAGTACAACATCACTATAAGCTAGTATGGCAATGTTCTACTGCAACGAGTTTTTACAAGAAAAGTTACTGTTTCAGAATGTATGTTCTCCCAAGTACTAAATTCTGCTAGTGAAGCAATACACATTAATTACCATACTAGCAGTTAAAATGGCAACATAGTAAAAAAGCCTTAAGTCCAGTAGCTTCTCTATCCTAGTGGTGTTGAAGTCAAAGAAATAGACAAGCTTAGTTTAAGTATCATCCCCAAACTGTTACCATTAAAAGTCCTATTTCATTAATGGGAAGCAGAGTAATCAGTTTCTTGTATTGAGGGATTAATCCTTAAGAGATATAAGAATCTGTGTTTTTACACTACAGACAACATTATCAGGGACCTTCCCCCCCCCCCCCCACACAACCTTAATACTGTTACACAGTCCCTTTTTAGGTAAACAAAGTTTGATATGTATCTAAATTCATTCTCATCATAGGTTAGGAAACCATTTGGAGAGTTTGTTTCTTAACTAGTCTTAAAAGATAAGCAACTGGACTATTGCAGGGCCATAAGTGTACACACTTGACACTCAGCCAAGCTTTCTGCAAAAGCCCCTCAGAGCTCAAGCTGATCCAACACAGAAACAGCTCCTTGTCCCCCACCCATGTGCCAGCTCACTAACAAGATGAGAGAAGATTAACCAGGCAAGTTTTTAACAGGTTAGGTGATTGATACTACCTAATCATTCGGTCTACAAGCTGAGAACTGGCACAAGTTAAGAAGCTGGAGAATACTGCCAGAAGCATAAAGAAGATGGGATGAAACTGCCTCTTTCAGCAAGAGCTTGCTAGATTAGCTCAGGCATCTCATTTGGGCTCCACCCTAATTATGAACAGCTAGCATGTGCCCAATTTTTCCCCCTCATCAAGCATTGGTGCTCATGCTGATTCTGAGGTTCACACAAGTAACCAGCTCCTACTGATCTGTACTTGGCATAGCTGACTTTGGGCAAAGCCAGTATTTCAAAAACAGGAAACATCCAGCTATACGATTGTGAAGCCTCACTGCTTCACCTGAGTGAAGCCTTCCACAGGTACACCACTTTTACCTGCCTAGTTTAAGAGAAGTCTTCCCTTTTGAATCACATCACCATTTCTGCATAAAGAGAAGCATATCTTGTCTCTCACCTTCTCCAAAATGTAAACTAAATTAAGAAGAGATCAACATGTTAAAGTGGACAATCAGATTTATGACACTTTAGCAGTATAGGATATAAAATGCTTGCACTGTCAGTAAGTATAACATTATATAAGCCATCAGTATAGAGTGATCAGGGTTGAACTCACAAAGTATAGTAATTTAACCACAGGAGTCAAGGTGAAAAGGTTAAGTGTATATTCTAGATCCATCATTTAAAGCGAAAGCTAACTGAATAGCTATTAGTCAAGCACTTCTGCCTATGGAAGCTCTTTTTGGCACTTTTTGCCTGTTGTATGTTTTCTTCTAGGAAGCTGAGGGTTTTTTTTGCTGGTACCTACAATAGCTTAAAAATATTTAGCAGTTAAAAATGCAGAGGTGTTACAATATACCTTGGTTATATGAGATAATCTAACCAAACAAAAAGTACACTTAAAGGTGGTGTTGGAGGAAAGTAAATTTCTTCAGGACTAGCTCTCAGAAAGCTCTCTGGAATGTCATAGACTCACTCTCAAGGTAGTTCTCTATCAAAACCACCACCCAGTTCAACATACCCAAATGGAATATACTGTAAGGAAATAGAAAATAAGCTTTCTGGCATTGAAAAGGTACGTTACTGAAATTCTTTTCTTATTTTTCAACTCAAGTAGTGCTAACTGCCAAGTCAAATGAAATCACTAACGTAGACAAGACAATCCTGGATATTTATAGAGATAAATAATGAAGTTACACACAAGTGTAATGAATTAGGACCCACCCTGCTGATATACAGGTCTTGTTGCAGATGTGCAAAAGCCACTTAGTACTGTGCCTGTGATTCATTATGCTACTTGTCTAGACAGAAGGTCTCCTACCCCAGTCAGATAAAATTTTGGTCAGAATTATTTTCCATATTTTATATCTTCCTTAACTATACCAGTATGCAGGATAAGCTGGACAGAAGGCAATCATGCAATAGCCCCAATGACAAAGTAGTTCCACCACTATTTTTTACAAAGATGGTCACTCTGATGGCTTGTATGGTCTTTCTTATACTTTAGGTGTACAAGTAAAATCCACAGCAATCTGACTGTTTAGTCTGAGAGGCATATCCATACAGTAGTTCTCTATCAAACTGCCTCCTGAATTCTACTAAAAGAGGTACTGTTCAAGACTGAAAACTTCACCTGAATGTGTTGCTAGTGACCTGATACCACACAAGGCCTGGTTCATCCCCTGGCAAGTGAAGCAATCCAGGGACAGACAAAACTGGCCATAAGAACGCCTGGCTCTACACATACCAGGGAGAAGAAACTACACAAAAGAAACAGGCTATTTAAAAAAAAAACCAAAAACCAAAACCACACAACCCATTCAATCCTGTACAGCAAGCAGATAAAGAACAAAACATTGTCAGCCCTGAGTTCAAGAATGGGATCAAGTCTTCAGTACTTGCCTTTACCAGTTTTAAAAAGTAGCAAGTCAGCTACTCTGAATGGAGAACAGAGTAACTGAAATACTACTTACACTGCAACACAAACAGACTAAAGAGCTATTGCACCAATCTCACCAAAAAGAGTGGTTCTACAAGAAGAAAAGAACAAATATTGAAGAGTGTTACTTTTAATTACTCTTAAATCTACAAATCGAGAACGGACAAACTTCTTGGCTTATACTTCCTGAGACAAAAGTTGCCATAAAAACAATTTTGATATTTAAAAACAACACAGTACAAAGAAACTTGCCTGGTAGTTGAAGTAAATACTGGTATGGCTCTAGGATTCTTTTAGATGTTTCATCCATCCCATCCATTTCTTTATTTCCTAAGAGGTAGTTCACTGTTAAAGAAAGTGTTATTAACTACTTAGACGGAAAAAATTAGGGAAGTAAAAAATAGATGCATACAATTAATGAAAAGTCAGCTGACTGAGGTTAGGTGCAAATATTCCAGTTTTCAACATGACACCTTCAGTTAATACTACCTTTACTACATAAAAAACTTTTCCAGATGTCATTTAGAAAAGAAACAAGCATATGTACTAAATACAGGTGTTTTTTTTAATTATTCATGAATAGTTCAAACCAACTCCTAGACTTTGTTTGCTCTTTTATATGTATTAGAGGGCTTAGATGATAAAGTATTTAAAACATTAGCATTCACAACAACGAAGCTTCACTGTAAGTCTTTAGAGAAGACACTCGGCACATACAAACCCTCATATGACTAACCTGATTAGACCTCCCTAAATGCTTTCCCCATACAAAAGTGGAGATGCCTAAGAGCATAAAACATACCTCATACCAAGGCAATCTAAACAAGGTGAACACTGGCTTCAGCCTTCTGATAGAATTCTTCAGTCCTGTTTTAGAAGGCAGAACAGGAATATACCATTTTCTTACCTCTGTTTAAGCATACAGATGTCTTTACATACTTTCCCATATACTATATACATCATAGACTCTCATGATAAATCTTTTAGGATCCATTCCCTACACAGCTCAAAAATTTTCTATTGATTATGTTTCAGTTCACATACCTTTGGTCATCTATATCTGCATTTTTTTTCATACTGTTTTCTATCATAGATATTCTGTCCTTTCACCTCTAGCCTTACTTGCTGCACTGCAGATGCAGCAGCTCAAAACAATTCTTCTAATGTCATTTTAAGACAGGAACTGCAGCAGTAGCATAAAGTCTCATGCTACTTCAGCATCATTTCTTAGCTACTTAGCTAGCATCCTGGAAAGGATGTATTTTTTGCCCCTGGAGCAACTGAATAGTTACATAAATTATCCACAAAAATAACTATTTTAAAGTGATATTTATAAGTATGGACTGATGCATTTTTAATGTAGCAACATTAAGAGGAGTGGTTAACTTGAATGGAATAAACTATGTTCCACACTTGCTTAAGATGATCCAGCAATACTTTCCCATCAAAAGCTCAGAAGATCAGCATTAAGATCACTGCTTCCTCTTATGCTTCCTGGACAAACTGGTATTCCTCAACATTCACGACCTTTCCCTTTCAGTATAGCTCAATCAGTTCCTGTCTACTCCCATTCCCACCCTCCACACCCATAAGCATTTGCAGCAGTCCAAACATGGGAACTGATCCACATTAATAATTATTGTCCAAGCTTAGGTTTGGATCCATTCCTTTACTTGCTTAACTGCATATGTTAATCAAACATATCAGCACTTCAGGGGCAAGAAAGGCTATTTAAGCAAACACAGTTGCCAACAAAATGATCCTAAGACTGCACCTTTTGAGAAAGCTTTACATAGTTTCTTAGCTGTAATGCCACAATAAGCAGTACAGCCTTTCCATCCTATCCCATGGTATGCCAGCACAACTAGCAGTCAGGCCGCATGGTAATCTAAATCAGATTTTACACCCTTGACTATTTTATTTCAGCTTGTTGGTATAACTGAAGGGATAGGAACTGCTTTTAAACACCACACCTGATTTAAGCACTGCCACTGAGAGTCAGCTGTCAAACTGTACCCTTACATATCAAGGGTAAGTCTCAAAGGACTTCAGTGAGGAAGTGAAATCAAAGATTATCACAATCCATCCCCAAATGTTTTAAGCAGAAAGAAGCTGGTAGAGATGGATATAAGGACACACTATCAACTTAACAACTCTCCTGTGACTATTATTTGTCAAAAAGCCACACAGATGGTTTGGAATTGAAAGTGCCTAGCTATGCAACAGAGCTGGGAAGAGATGTTAGGGTTGGAATTGCTTCTCTGTAAAAGTTTCTGCTTAAAAGTAAATATTAAAGTTTTCCCTCTCTCCTCAGGGAATTCAGAGGTTTCTTGCCTGTCTGTAGGACATCAAGACAATATTGAAAATCCCCAATTAACTTGAAATTCACTAGTATTGCTCAGCAACAAACTAATTTTTTTGCCTCTGTTGGCACAAAATTAGTAGGAGTTCACCTGAAACGCTGCTTATCAGCAGAAAATTAGTCAGGCACTCCTCCCACCAGTGCCAAGATTTTTTTTTTTTTTTAATTAAATGGAGGCAAAAAAGCTCTAACAGAATGGATGGTAACTTAGCTTAAATCACTACAGTTAAACTTTTCTAGAATGCTATGCTACTTTTAAATGAAGTGATAGGTGACCTCTGCTAAGGAAAAGAGAAACAGTCTGATTATTCATCAGCCAGCTACGTGTCTAACACACCCACCAAAACAAGAACAGTGAGCAGAACCTCCCCCAAACTTACACAAAGAAAGGGACACTTGATTAAGAAATATGTAAATGAAGTTCCTTATAAAGGCCTGTAAGCAAAAATACCACGAGACTTGTAATCTTATTGCTTTTTGCACAAGTTATCACATTTGACACACTTGGAAAATGCTTGATATTAAGGGTTTCCTGCCTAGGTGACTGACGAATTTACTACGGAAGTTACACTGTTGCAGAAAGTCTTCTCAGCAAGGACACTTAGAGACAAGATCTCAGTCAGCACTTCCTAATAAAAAGTAAAATTGCCAGGAGTTAAGCAATAAATGAAATGGAATGCAAAGCCTTTTGTTAGTAAGTGCAAGGATTGACTACATGTACACTTATTCAAAGGATTAAAGCAGTTAAGGCCATTTTGGCTTTAAAACCAGTTTCCTTTTAAACCAGTACACAGCCTTGCTGCATTTCAATTCATGCATGACTAAGTTTTTTCAGTTATTTTTCAGTATCCCCACGTAAGCATACAGAATAGCCATTATTGGCACAGGCCGTGCAATCACAACAGAGATCCCACGGAACTGTCTTTTGGACTGCAACAAACCTTCTCTCTAACAATCTCTTTGAAAACACAAAAGACACTAGAATAAGGTGGTGACATGGGCTTCCATAAGTTGGAACTACTCTAATACTATACTTGAAGCTGTGAGCTGTGTCTAGGACCTTCCTAGAATGGATGAAAGTCATATTAATTCTAGGTTACACATCAAGAAAAATCTTCATTTTGGAACTTCATAAAACAGCTTCTAACCCCATCCCTTCCATCCCATTCTGCAGAATATTCTCCCCTCCTCCAAATTAGGGGAATAGGATCACCGAAATGGTCCAGGTTAAATATACAGATGGTATTTTAAAAAGCATCATCATCATCTCAGTGACTCCAATCACAGTACAGTTACACGGAAAATAAAAGAGAACCACCAAAGGAAGAGAGCTGTAGTGCAACAGGAACCATCCAGAAAGTTCTTAAATCGGCTCTATCACAGCACTTAGTGCACCAGTTTCACTGTAATCAGTAAAAAAAAAAAGCCCCAAATAGGAGGTTGTAGGAGTGAGAAGGTCTGATTCAGAAGGAATACACAGAAACTGTTGTGAATGTGTATTGTTTCAAAGAGGCTGTCAAGGCTCTTAATCCAAATGTAATTTGGACAGGATGCTTGTCACCCTAGTCCACATTCTCATTCTAATTAGCAGAGTCCTCTTTACAACCCCTCCAAGGCTGATTCCGAACAAAACCTGGTATTCAACTTAAGGATAGGCAACTTCCCACAGGTGGAAGGATAACCATACACTTTCCCTGAAGATGCAGCTAAGTAAAGAAGCAGCCTTCCATAGCTGCAATTTCAACACTAATGTCAGAACAGCAAGAACATACTGTTGCTGGAATTGTGCTTCGATTTTAATAGGATTTCCAGAAATAATTGAGCATGAAGGCTACAGAAGCCAGACAACAATACCCGGGCTGTCAAAGCCCTCGCACTGCGCCGTGACAGCACGCAGGCAGGAAGGGGTTTTAAGCTGCAGGCTGACCCGAAGACAGAAAACGAGGGGGCAGAAACCGTGACTACTTCCGAATGGCTTCTCAGACCAAACCCCACATTTCACAAAGAACACGAAGCTGCTACCCTGCTTGCAGATGCCTAACCCCCGCCCAAAACATCCCGGTCACACCGTGGAAAGAGGGTTCATTTTTCGGAGTTCAACGTAAGAGATGCGAACGCGACGGAGGCGGCAGAGCCTCTCTAGCTGCACACACGACCCAAAGCCCAGCAGCCCAGCCTCGCCAGCGCCATTTTAGATAAAGCGAGACCGAGAGCCGAGGGCTCCTCGCTCCCCCTACCCGCCGTCCACCCCCATTTTCTCATCTGCGCTGCCGGCAGCCGGGCTCAGCCGCCGCCGAGGGAAGCGCCGCCC